TTGGACCAATTTTGGAAGGTGAGAAAACTTGAACATTAATATTAACCGTGGGAAAATGCTTAGTTACACATTTACCGGTACTTACATTCCACGTTTCAGGGATGCTGCCCCTTTAACAAAAAGAATGTAATCTAGGGATGGGAGGGAGAGAAATCCTCCATAGATCAGTTTCTGCTCGGAGTGATTCCGTGACCAGTCCCACGATCGTCATAATCACCTATTATAATATCTTTCACTTTTTGATATCCTAAACTCGCATTAAATTAAGCTTAAGGTATCAATCTTCTTTATACAGATTCGCGGCAATGAACAGCTGTTAAAAACTCTTGATCGTAACAACAGTATACTAAACACCTAATGGAAGCTTTCAAGGTTTTCCACACTAATTGCCAATTAAGGCTTTCGCAATTCACAAAAGTATTGCTGTCAAATGAATCCCGGGGTCAAAGCGTGAGGTGCCCAACAATTAGATTTACCGGATACGGATGCCACAGCCTGCGTTGTTTACATTAAACATTGTTGCACAATGCCTCCTAGATACTTTGTCTCTTGTTCATTACCAATCAATAGGCATTTCCGGGATCACTTGCGGGAGAAACGTGTGGAACATACCAAGGGAGATGTGAAGGTCAAAGTTACATTGTGGGTGTGGCGTAGGTGGTGTAAGTGAATCAGGTAGTTTTCCGTTAATCGAGTTTCGTTTCTTGCACTGGGAAGTGTGAGTAAAGAATGTTTGAGCTTAAAAGAACGCAGTGTTTTTGTGTGTGACAATTGGATCAAAATGTGGGTCGCCGGATGACTGCCCCCCGGAAAACTACCCCCCCCCCCAAGCAGGTTCCTACGTCATATTGACGTCAGAGACCGGGGGGGCAGTTTTCCAGTCACGGACACTCAAATTAAGTTGTCAAACAGTTCTAATTTAACCTAACCTAACCAACCAAACTTGCTGTAACATTTCGAAAATCTGTTTTATATTCAAAATTACATAGCATGATTTGTCTAGGGGGGGTAGTATTCCAGTCGTGGACACGGCTTCCATTTTGGTTAGTTAGCAGATTTTTGTGATGTCTCGTTTCACCTGGGGGGGGGGGCAGTTTTCCGGGGGATAGTATTCCGCATCCCCCAAAATGTGTTTGCCGCTCCAAAGTCCTTTGAATAGAAGTTGGGCAATGATTACTGAATAAGTCATTTGATATCCACGATTTCTCAAAAATGGTTCATCTCCTATCTAATTTTGTTTAAATGAGTTGGTATGATTATTACAAGAAGAGGCATAAGTATATTTGAAAGTGCGGTTTTATAGATCTCAGTCCCTCGGGAATTTATTGTCTTCAAATGTATTACTTTACCGTAAAGCCACTAAAATTCTACTACGGATACTCTACAAAATGAGATTTTATTTAGAATGATCAATGCAGGAAGTGAGTGCAACAACCTTCAACATACATACGTAGCCAACAACGGCTAAAGCCAAGAACGGACGGCAGAAATTGAATCATCAGCAGATGCTACAGGTGCACCAACGGTCAGTGCCTTTTGGTCTACTTACAGTCTGTCATGGAAAATCCCCATTGAACAGGTCTCAACAATGTGCAGCGATAACAAGATAGGCCTACGATTGGATATAAATACAGGATTAACCTGAGGCTAAAATGTTGGTTACAAAAATACACATGGACAGTTGAACTCTCATATTGTAGGATAGTTCCTATCGATTTTTGAAATATTGTATTGTATAGTTAGATTGATTAAATATCATTGCACAGGTTTGCGGAGGTTTTGAAGCAACTTAAGTCGCTAAGTAGCCGAAAGGTTTTAGTGCTCACCTTAAAATTGGAAAGTTGCTGTTTCAATACCAACTTATTTTATCCCTTGAAGCCATTCATTGAGCAATCAATATTGATGCTATCTAACAGGTGGGACGTTAGATAGTACATAACAAGATTATGTTTTAGCCGGTAACTCCCAAAACAACGCACAAGTAATGACATCCAAATAATTGAAGTAGATTGATACAACGCCGACAAAACAGAAATGCGCATTTTTAAACTATGTTCGGTGAAGGATGAATTTTGAAGGAATGAGACAGCTTTATAAATGGCTAAGATCAGCTATTTGTTTAGTGATGGTCATTTATAAAAAACCTTTTACTGTGGATTGAATTAGATAAGCCACTTCATGTTGACGCCAGTTTTTTTGATAAAAATAAACATAATTGAATTTAACAATTTATAGAGTGTGCTGATATAAATTAATTGTGATACGCCAACTATTAAACCAAGGCAATCCAAAACGGACAGCTTATTACCTAACACATTTTTACTGATATAACTTACAGAACAACAAAAAATAAGGGAGAAAATTTATAAGAAGTCTCCAAAATGCAATGCAAAATACTAATAGGACAGCTGGTTTAGTTTTGAGCTATCAAAACTCTTTTAACTTTTCTCAAATCGAACCCGAAGCCTGATGTGCCTGATTACTATACTGACTATAATATATAGGCGTGTGGAGAGCACTAAGTATATCGTTTCATTTATCTAGATATAAGCTACTCCAGCTATAGATAAACAATGAAGCTTTCTTTGTTCGTTCTGCTACGTCAGTACTCGAGTACTGGGAGGTTTTGTTCGTCAGTACAGGACAGTACATTGACCTCAGTACTGCACGGTATACAGACACGTACGGGATGTCCTTCATGTGACACGAACATTACAGACTAGGCTACACTGTCTATGGTACAGAATACGAACATCGCCGACTGCCGTACAATGTATAGCATTACAGTCGATACGGTCTTAACGATAGGCATACACTGCAGAAAGGTATGGGGCTTGGATCACTGGTTGAAGTAGCCTACTTGACAAAACAGCCTCAATCCAGCAGAGTTGCAGCTCACTGGATTGGAACGTCACGAAGATCAGATCAAACTTAAGGTCAGAGTCGGTAAAGTATGTTAAAGTTGTTTGTCTCAGCAGGATTCTCTCACTACATGCTGAGACTATAAATGTGCTAAAATAATGATCTACCTTCTATCAAGAATAATGCATACGATTAGGATATTGTTTTATAACCTTTTTGCACACTACACGTAAATCAAATTACCTAAACCAAATATGTCACAAAATTATATTCCTGATATCGAAGCATAACAATAAAAAATTGTCTCATTAAAAACAGCCGGTTCAAATAATTCTTAAGATAACACTGGCTGAATTATTATCAGCCACAGTCAAAACTACTACAATAAGACAGCCTTTCCTGTAAATTCGTGGTTAAAAGTCTTAACGAGGGTTTACGCGACAGCCGTTTATAGAACGCCTACTCCAACGTGAAATTTTTGGTGCGCACAACATGTGGAGGTTTCATGTTTCATCATGATTTTGAGTTCAATTTGTTTAACTATTCACTAATCTGTTATTTTCTCTCAGCATATTCGATATGTTTCATTCTATATGTATATGACTGTTCGTCTATATTGCACATGAGTCACACCATGTATTTACATTTCCTCAGTCAACGTGTTGTCTGCTCTAATGAGCCTCCCTTACAGTGACGTAAGAGGATGTAAACAAACCATTAACAAGCTAATGAGGGTGAGACAGTAAACATTGTAGAACAAATACGTAATATACATTTGAAATTTGTCAAGATTCTTGTGTGCTTATACTTTACATTTTCAATCAGAAAATTTGTAAAAAGTCAACACTGTCTTGCAACAAGTTTCTTTTGATAATAGATGAATTTGTAGACATACGTATGAGCTCCATACACTTCCTATGATCTAACCGGAAACCATTTTACACATTACTTCAGGCGTAGTAAATTACAGTAATGTGCTATGTCTGTCACATAAGCTGAACCAATTAGTGGTTGGCTGGATTTAAACCCAGGACCTTGGGGATTGAAGCCCCGCGCTTCACTGTACCCCTTCATAGATTATTTATCATCTTTATGGACCAGCAAAAGATTTTGTTTCTTGTTTTACCAGGCTTTAAAGCGATGTTAACTAAACAAAATAGGCCTAAATCTATTTGCCAGTTACAATAATCTATTCCGGTTGACAAGTTAGTCAAAACTAAAAAAAGGTTTTCCAAAGAACCTCCAAGATTGAAGAGTTTTAAAGAGATATGTCCTCAAAACACATTTTTACTTATGTAAATCCATTACTTAACAATATTTTAATCAGCATCATTCTTCCAATTAACCAAAATCTCGTTAAATATTACTGTTTTAATCAACTGATTACTAACTAGGTATTTATGTGACATGAAAACGCACAACATTAATCCTTGTAATTGAAAATTAAAAATAAAATCTCTCCTCAGTCATAATAACTACCATATAACTATTGGTAAAGACGTAGCTCATACTCCAATATTTATAGTTATATATAAAAGAAACTCTAGTTAAATATAAAAGTGACTTGTAAACTAAAATCCAAGATGGCACAGTAAGAAAGAACAACACGGAAATACGAAAATTGAATTGAAGTGAATTAAATTAAATTGAATTATTGAGCTGTGTGTTCAAAGCCACAAAAAAAAAATTACTTTTTAAAAAATAATTTTTATTTTTCTCTCAATAAAAATGTGTATTGATCAATACACATTTTTGTCATTGTAATGTTTGAAAACTACACAAACATGTAGTGAATATTTTAACTTTCATGTCGTTTCAGGAAAACTGACCTATACGATTTGCAGCTACTTTGTTCATTCTAAATATATATAAGCAATTGTATATAAACTACGTTACAAAGGCTTGATTTCAACAAGTCTCAGTGGTCATAAGGCTATTTCTACTTTCTTGGTAATATTTACTGTATAAAAATATTAGTAGATACATTGAAAGGTGTTATAGTACATATTGGATTATATTTGTGTAAAATATATAAAACAACTTAAGAGCTAGTCTATAGAAATACCATAATTAAACTCTTAAAATTAATTACAAATATTTCTATTAACACATTGCAAACTAAATATGAAAATACTTACTGGGGTAGGCGTAAGCGACAGCGCTCAAGGCAAAAATAAACACTAGAACGCTCTTCATATTTGCAATCACTGTTAACTCTTGGAAGACAAACTTGAAACTGAGCAGGTCGTGGCGGCCGCTCTGCGCTTATATAGTCCAACAATGCCGAGCAAACCGGCCAATCAGAAGCCAGGAATCCACGTCATAGCCAATCACAGCCCGGCTTCCTCGAACTGCCTGCGCTCCTGGAACCGTGATGAGGCAGTGTTTGTATACAATCATTGGGTTTACTACAAGTACCTATAAAGTTTATATAAATTTCTTTGGAATATAATGTTTCAATGATTGAATTTTTCAAACAGCTTTTATAGATACAGTACCTAAATTACCTAATTACCTCCTTCACTTTCACTGAGATCAGCTTTGCTGCATAGGCTGTTTAAAAAAGTAAAATATCATATATTTTTTCAAAACTCGCTGACAATCAGCTGTAGACTAAGTCTAAACGTGTGATCCAACAATGTAAATTATGAAACAGCTGACTTAATAGTAACAATGAATGTATATCCAGAACCGCTTTATTATTTGGCCAGCACATTGAAAATGCATTATGTATTATCTGGTTAAATGGAAATTCGGTCCTTGAGCTATGGGTCCAGTCCTTGCCAATCACCAATGTATTTAATGTAATTCCCCAGATGGATTTTATCCTTGTTGGAAAATATTTCCCTCAAACCAGCTGAATGCTACAGTGAGATGTTGGTTTGCATCTGTTATGGGAATCTCAACGATGTATATACTCAAATTTGTAGTGTTATACAATGATGGCCATGACGAATATTCCAGTAACAGATTTTCTTTTCTTCTTTGACATTTTGTGATCTTACATAAAATAAGTACCGATGTCCTACACATTTTCTCTCCCGGTAGTAAATTACTCCTAATTCCAAAATAAATCAAATACTTTTCAAGTTTTCTAAAAATAGATTTCAAGCTCAACCAGGAATATTAGAAAATATTAAACAATAGTCTACCTCTTTGATGAAAATAAGTCTCAACACTTGTAATAACAACATTTGTGACAGCAAATTGATATTTTGTTTATACTTTATATGTTGATATCTGTGGCTCAAAATGCTACATCACAACACAAGTGTGTTTTCACTATAAAAAATCACTCAGTTGAAACATAAACAGTCTCAAATTTATTAACTTTTCGATAACAATAAATTCTAAGAAAAAATATATTTAGCTTCATATCTTTTTGATTAATTAAAATTCTTCTGATTATAAAACATAGCTTACTGGGCTACGAATTATGTTTCGTTCATTTGATTTGTAAGGTTACGAGAGTGTCCTATTAACTTAAACCGAACCTCGTCCCATTGACTCTAGAAGTACAAATTGCAACTGTCAGTAAATGTATAAACACACCAAAGATTATAACCTAGCATCAGCTACAGTAGCTTTAGCAGCCTATAGCAATGCAGAATTAAAACCTGAGTTTTACTGATGTATATGTAAATGCATTTATGTAAATCTGGCCAAATAAATTACTTATGACTTTTATATAGTTAACATGAAACAAAATTAGAATACGGTAAATATTATGATATTAAATTTAAACATGACTTTTGATACTGATATTAGGCTTATCATCTTACAGTCTGAACCTTGTTTGGTGTGTGTTTCAAGTCTGGAATGGTTGGAGTGTGCTGTATGTTTCCAACCCATAAACTAACAACTGAATATATATATTATATTTTAGGGTCGATTTTAGAGCATGTGTATGACTATTTTATTATAGTAACAAATAACAATAAATAATATTATAATTTTACAAAACAAACGTTTAATTTAGTTAAGTTAAACAGTTTTCATTCGGAACGGGGTTTTATGCCCCATTTTACGGGTTAAAAATGGGGTTATTCCATTTTCACCCTGAAACATGACCTTTTGTAATTTCATTCCAAACCATTTTGTAGAGCTCAAAAAACAAATAATCTGCATAATGTTTTTGTGTGGTTATCAGTTTCTTGGAAATCCCAAAAAAATGAATTTAAAATTCCTTCAAGGCTCGAACCAACGACTTCATTGACTTGGTCGCACAATGTATGACTCTTCTCCGAGCAGCTAATTCGCCTCAGTCAAAGTAAATTGTTCAAATCTGAAGTTAATACAACAAAGTGCGTACGGTAAGGCAAATCGATGGAATTCAAGGTCGGATTTAAATCCGCGCGGTTCTCGTCGGTTTATCCTGCTCCTGTCTATTCAGTGAGATGTTTCATCTCGTAATCTCTTGAGTCATCTACAACTAGACCTTGGTCCTTGGCAGTCACTGGACCACAAACGTTAATCCGCAAAGGTCGAGGTTTTGCGATGCAATTCTTGTCTTCCTGCTGTCCACTTCGACTTTTGACTTCATTACCATCACTAGTGAGAATTGACTTGGGAACGTAGCTGGCGAATTTTAACATACATTTAGGATAGAGTAAGAAGACTTGTGAAGCTTGGCTAGTGATTAAGACTGTTTATTTTGCAAGAATAATATATATTACCGATGATCAGGTATAGTTGAGCCCAGTTTTGAACAATCAATACCCCCGCCGCAGCAAACCTGCCGACTAAGCGAATTTCCATTTGTCTGAATTGATTTTCAGTTAAATATATTTTAATAACATTAGGTTTAACGAGTACCTAGGTTTGCTGTTACAAGGAAACTAATAAAGTGTGTTTTTGAGTAAAATATTGATAGCTTAGTACAAAATAAATAAATTTGCCAAGTTTGATCAAAATATATCCATAAACAAGCGAACTACAACATTTGACAATACTGTATTCTCCATAAAAATAACATGAGAATTTTAAATTTACAATTTTTTTAATTTTCTCCGTTACTAATAATCGAACAAAAATGCTTTTATATACTAAATTATTTGTTTTTTAAAGATCTTTAAAAAGGTCTAAAGAGAAATCGGGAAATTTTGTGTTTTGAGGGTCAAAAGTGAGAAAAACCAATTTTTACCCCATAAAACCCCCCGTAAAGCCCCGTTTCCATGGTCCGATCGTGCTGGTTCGCGAACTAATTCAAGTTTATCCCCCTTTACACCTTTAAACCAAATTTCATCAAAATCGGACAAAAATTACTCAAGTTATCGCGTTTACGGACATATATATATATATAATATAAAAATTTGAACGAATGGTGTTTTTGGCCTCTGGGGACATCAAAATGAAAAAGTAAATCGGTCCCGGGTCTAGGTCTTACCGTGCCACCTACGGTAATAGCTACTTCCCTATAGGGAAATTCGCTAAAAAGCCACTGGCTTTTCTCAGAATCGATCCGGCAACCTTGATCATCACAAGGCGGGCGCTAACGGCTGCACTATTACCACTGATCGTGCCTTTCAATGGACATTTTTATGCCTTTAACCAAGTGATTCAGTATTCATCTTTTAACTCAGTTTTAAAATCGAACTATTCATCTTTGATACAATTGACAACTCATCTCAACGTGAAAAATTACGTATAAAAATATTTACAGTAGCTTCTGCGTTCATTCGGAACAAGAATATACTAAACGTCTCTATTTCATAGTATTATTGATTATAGTCCCACAGATATACAGGTTTGTATCACAGTCATCAAGGACGGAACCCCCATAAGACTGCAATACATACGGGCTACAAACTGTAGGGAAATGCTTAGTTCAATACAAATGATCTCAACAAAACTACTATAGTCCATAATTTAATCGGCTGTCGTATATGGAAATACATGAACTTTTACCTCTATGTGGATAGAAAATCCATTTAACTAATTAAAAAAATAATGCAAAGAAAGCAGTGAAGTATATTGAAAACATAAGATTCAATTTTCTTTGGTGTGTTACCAGTTACAGGAAAGTAAAACCTCCCATTGTATTTATTCCCCAAAGAATCTTTTTTTTATTATTAATGTAGGATACTACAAATAATGTATGTCTGTAGATCAAACTTATATTACAAATAAACTCCAACATTCCTTTTTATTCATTTAATCTCTTATCACTTCCAGTAAAAGCCATTCTAATTGTACGGTCGAACTTGTTTCATTCATTTAAGTGTGTAATCAACTTTATCTGTACCAAGGCTATAAATATATCTGAGCTTAATACTGTACCTTGAGTAATATGTGAGTCATACTTGACTGAACTTATTTCAACGAAAAAACATGACAAGCTATAATTTCTACGAAAATGAACATCTTCCTTCATGGAAATGAGTAGTTTTATAGAAATTAGCATATATATGCAGACAAGTTGTATCTAATTTGTTATTAATTCAATTACTAATATGCAGCCTCTTCCAGATAAACAGGAAGTGGATGTCAGTAATGATTTAATATTTCTTCAAGTATGCGTAACTAGCGTAGGTTTCAAGTAGGAGTTTTGTTTGTCGTCAGCACATGAGTTGGTTTCCATAATTTGCAACCATTGTTAGTTCTTATTTGGACGAAAAAAATAGAACTATACGTAATAACATTTGGAGCACCAGGAACACATAATTTGAAGCTCAGCTAAACATAGAGAATGTCGAGCTCGAAGAATTCTTGTTAACATTTAACGTCTGGGTTGTTTTGTGGATAAAAGTGAAATTTTTATCGTCGTGAAGTTTTTTATTATATTAAGCTATTCTTTGGCTCATTTACTAATTGTAATGAATACAATAAAATTATTTTTATCTGACAAATTATAAAATATTAGTAGCCTATATAAATTATTAAATAAACTAAACAAAATAAAAATACGTAAATAACACTTGTAATAATATATTTACACTTACACTGTTTACTCACAAGACGGTAAATACATATAAAAGATAGTAAGAGGTTGATAAGTATAAAAATATACAAGTATTATTTGACGTATTTCTTGTACATTCAGATAGAATACTTAATATCATAGGCAACCTATATCGTTGAGGCAACCTAAAGTGTTAGGTACAAAAGTGCAATTTCATTCTGTATTGCCTGCATATGAACTAAACATCTATAAATGACGTAGGAGGAAAAATTTAAATACCAAAAGTTACAACCACGAAAACACAGGTTTCGTTCTATCATTGTGTACGATTTGAAAAATATTTGCAAACTAATTTCTCTGAAATCAATTACAATCAAATGACTGTAATATCTGCGTTAAGTAGAATAACTGGAATCAAACCAACTGTTATCAATACAGACCTTTGATCACAGTTATCTTCAAGAAAACCCAATTGTTATTATCTTTTGTTGGAAACAATTAAATGGCAAATTGAAGGTTATGTAACCCTAATGGCTCAATTTGTAGTAATGTGTTTTTATGTGACATTGTGATTGTTAATATGGGGAAATTAAAACGTAAAACCGTTTAAGAGTTAATTATTTCATAATCTATTCTAGGAAATAGTTTTTTAATACCTATTTACAGAACAATTGGACGTACAGTAACAGGTTATTGTAGGATAAGGATTTGTTTACTCATCTCACGATCATTGTTTTTAATAATGTATGTAATCACATTTCGTGGTGGATATTTGAAATAATCTTTATGGCTATTTCACATATTTAAAAATGTCGTTTCAATTATTTCTTTTTAAACAAACATGTAATTAATTACATGAACTTATAGCTGGTTTGCTGAGAGGATTTCCTCGTATGATTATCAGTTGCCAGTTCAATCCTGAAAATAGAACATTTTTCAATTTTTTAACTTGACTCTTTCGTCTGACTCAGCAGCAAAACCAAAGCGGCAAATTCATCTAATTCTTGACTCCAATTCCAATCATATTTTACTCAGGCAGGTTAAAATTCACAGCAGTGTCCCTGTGTCGAAGTAAAGTTAATTACAATAATACTTCTTTTATATGCCACCTTAACTTAAAATTAATAAATGTAGCCGGCAGCCGCAACAATATTTTTATCACACGATGAAGAAGTTAAGTTAAAGGTGTGATGTGACAAATTAAACCACAATTATTTGTAAAGATATAAAAAACACAAGAGATTTACTGCTATAACAAAATCGTAAGAAAATTAAGCAGCACAACGGAAATATGTACAAATAATCGGGTAGAAATTTAGTTCCATACGAGTGCGGTGGGTAATTTAAAGGGAAATTTAATTTCCGCCCGCATAAAGTGGCAGCCCTGCTCTACCGCTGCGCAGTAGTCTCTGCGCAAGTCTAAACCGCAAACTCTGCCCGCACGGTCGATAGGCGGACACGGACAGCTGCATTGCATATAGTTATATTAAGTATAGCAGTGGGATATTCTTTCGTTTCACGAGTTATTTATTATCGTCAATGGGTTTTCGTAGATTCTCACATTCCGACGACTTGCTGCTCGTCAACAGTGTTAAATCATTTCCCAACCTGTACAGCCAAGAGGGTTTATCCGTAACCAAAAATCATGAAAGCATGAGAGAGAACTGGCGAGCGGTAGCGGCAGAAGTCGGTGTGAACGGTGAGTACTCGATGTGTTGACTACTTATCGCAAACCACTTAAACGAACAGTCGATGGATTGATGTTGGAATTAAAGTCAATTGGGATCATTCATTTGATATTCGCAAGCGTAATACATCGATTTGACAATAGTTAATCACTACTGTAGCATTTTTGAATTTAACTTCTGCTGATTTTAGAAAGTGCTTTGATAACAAAAATACAACGAAATAGAGCATATTTTTGTATGTAGACTTATGTTTTTTGTAGTAAATTAACTTAGCTACATTGTTTACTATATTTTTCCTAGAAGCCTGAACTATTCCCTCCCTTGCCATTTTGAGTGATATTGTCCGCGCTGACGCTCTATAAAACTACTCGATATTAAATTGAGTTAAATTACTGTTGGTAGACCCTGCCCATTCCTACTAAGTCAATTTTAAACTGTAGAGTCACATAGTGCAAAACAAATATTAAAATGTCACTTATGGAAGATAAATCTTTCATCTTTGTTTACAAACTCACATGGGATTGCTATATCTTTTCATTGATTTACTAATTTAATTAGAATTATACCTTTCATTCGAAATTAATTTTCTCAATTCAGATTGATTGTTTGATGTTTGACTAATTGATACAGTAATTGATAAAATAAATAATAAATAGTGCATACAGTGTGTTTGACCTTATAATAATTTCCTGTATTCTGCTTTAAATCTTGTGAGCAATTAAGCTCACATTATTGTTTTTATTCCCCTCACCTTATTGGTATGGACGGAAGTGCCCTCATGAATTGGGTGAAGGTGGGGAGTGGGGAGACCCGGCTGGGTCCCCACAGCTGTTGAGTAGGTAAGGGTCCCCCAGCCTTTTGTCCACAGCTGAATATACCAATAGACCCCCCCCCCCCCCAACTCTATATCTTTCTCTCTCTAGCAGTGATCCTGTCAGGGAAAAAAGTTTAGACCCTCCAGTTGGAGCTCTACAGAAAAGTAACCTAACTATTTAGAAAAAGCACGGAGTTTTCCTATATCTAAAAAAAACTTTTAGCTTGTTTAGAAAATGTTGTATGATGGTCGGAAGGTAAAAAACCCCTGTTTCATTAACAATCAGTATCAAAAACCATCTCATAAGATAACAAAACTTTTAAATTTTTTCTATCGTTTGCAGTTTTTCAGAAAACGTTTACTTGGAAAATTAACAAACAAAACTTTTTGGGTAAAGTAAAAATCCTGACACCATACAAATTAATTCCTTATATTATACTGTCTTAAAGTTTGATAAAGTTCTGCCGTTTAGTTTATATTGTGCGATTTTTTAAAGTCATAAGATGGTTTTTGATATCATTCTACTTAACAGGGGTTTTTACCGTTTTTTGTTTCAGGAATAAGTACTACGTAGAAATAAACAACAGAAATTTATATATAATCTGTGTTTTTCTAAGTAGTTTTGGTTACTTTTCTGTAGAGCACCAAACTTGAAAGTCTAAACTTCCCCGACATTATAAGCACCTGGATACTGTATTTAATTATACACTAATTCGATGATGAACATATGCTTATGAGTATGTAGACACTCTGATAGTGGTTTTATAAACAGACGTAACTTTTATCTGCTACACCACTAAATGATAGTATATCTTTAAATTTGGATTCTTTTAAAAGTTATTTAGTATAGCAGCCATGGTGATTTTTTGTTGTTTCGACTAGCTTAGTCTTGTATATTTATGTTCAACAAGGTGTTTGGCTTCACCCATTAACTACTTGTTTGGTTAAGTCTACAAATCTGATCCTGTATTTTTATCCTTTTCAGCCTCCAAGATATGACTTTTCTTTTGCTCTTTCATCCATCTATCTCCTTTTTGATGATTGTGTATAGGTATTCTTCCATTTGAGGTTTTCTTTCATAAGAAAATCTTTTACCACGGGAAAATGATACAACTAGGTAGTTTAGAATTTTTTATCTGTACTTAGGAAATTTTTTCTTCTTCAAAATTTACCGTCTAAAACATAAAAAGCCCAATTTTTATTACAACTACCAAGTTTAAAAACTACACAAATAGTATATTGTAGCATTGTTAATTGCACAATAAAGGGATGAAAAAACTGTTTATTTAAAATTCCTGTATTGTTCTCATGGAGAAAAGGAAAACTGTTTTAATTAAGTTTAGTTTGTTTGGGGATAAAATTTTTATCCAATTTTAAGATTTTGTTATTTATCCTACTATTAACATTTGATTTTAAAAAACACCTTTTCATCACTCTATATTTGAAAATAGCCCATTTCCATACAGCTGAGATCTTCGAAAATGTTCAATTTCCATACACCAAAAACAAATAGTGATCAGCTGACTTTTCCTGACATAAACATTACTTTCATTTACACAATTCACAAACTTCACAAACTTACACAAACTTTCAATTAAACATTACTTACACAAACAATACTTTGCCTGACATCAACAAAGTTACAACTTAAGTTTTTTAAGTTTGATAAAGTAAAGTTTTTTTCATCGTGATGAAAAGTATCGTTCAATACTCGTCACGAAAGTCCCATTTCGGGGCTCGATAGTGTTTCCCATGCTCGACGTCATGTAAAACACTATCTTGCCCCGAAATGGGTCACTCATCAACAGCTTATTTTAGTTATTATTTTACAAAATACAGATTTTTTAGGTAGCTGAAAAAATTTGTTATTTTTGTTTGCTTTTTGATACTGATTTTCAAGTCATCAATGACGTAATTCAAGAGGAACGACTGTGCCAACAGGATGTATAGTTTCCTGTTATGACAGAAGGAATCCCAATAATTATAGTTTGTGTTTTGCGATGAAACTTTGAATGTTCCAAATCGGCCATGCCTTCTGCTTAGACTTTAAAATACTGATTGTATGCATTATCGAAAGTTTTGATTTACCGAGTGTTTTAATTACCAAGACACTGTAGCAGGAAACCAACTCGTTAAATCTAACATTATTTAAATAGAGAATAAATATGGCTTGTTATTTATGAAAAATGAATAAAAATGAGGCCCCCTTCATCATAAACTAGATTAGCATTGGGCGATCAGCTGATTTACTAATAATATTAGTTTGTACTTTATTATGAAAAAGGCCTCAGACAGATTGAAATCCGCTTAGTCTGCAGGTTTGCTGCAGCGGGGGTATTACTGTAGTAAAATATAAATATAAATAAATGTTCACCAAACTATTGGCGAAGTATTTTATCTATAATAAAGCTCTCCTAAAATAATCAGACAACAATATGTACGCCATGATAAATTACTGATTGTTTTATTTTTTTTAGAGAGTGAATGCAAAAGAAGGTGGAGGGACATCAGGGATCATTACTTCAAAACAAAGAGGAAACACGAACAGAGCAAAGACAAGAAGTGGGCCCCAAGATGGTCACTGTATGAAAGTCTGCATTTCTTGGCCAGAGCCAAAAGGAAAAAGAGGTATAAAGAAATATACATCAAATAGGAAAAGCCTAATTAGTTATTAATTAGTTAAATAGTTATAAACATACTTCCTTAGTAAGGTTTGTCATTCTTATTGAGCAGCTGACGTTTTAATGTTAGCTGTGTCCGGTGTCAGGTTGTGTTTTTGTTTAAAATTATTTATTTGTTATTCCATAGTAATTGAAAATCTTGTCTAACCAAATAAAACGATCTGATCATAAAGAACAGCTTATCTAGGCAATTACAATCAGACCCAGCTAAATATGTAAAATATGCATCAGCAAATTAGCAGTTAAAAAACGATCGTTGAATTTTTACTTAAATATTTCCTTACACATGTCAGATTTATTCCCTGTTTAGATAACATCATTAGGATTGATGAAACATGATTTCTGAAAGGTAATGGACATAGGGAATTTTTATGTTTAAGGATACAAATTTGAAAAAAACATAATTTAAAAAAAAATTAAAACTTTGAATCAATGAATGAATAAGCGCTTTATTTTAAAATACTCAAAACAAAATACAAATTCGTCCCACGCAGGGAACGTGCCTACGCGCTACAGCAATAACCTCTTGGTTATCTGCTGGGTTGGCACGTCTAAAACTAAATCTAAAACTTTATAACACTAATGCTGTGACCAGATTTTACTGGTTCGGGAACTCAAGTTGATGCTGCCTATTTTTCACAAAAACCGTACCAAAATTACTCGCGTTATTGTGTTTATGGACACCCATACATATAACATGCAAAAATTTGAACAGTGTAGTGTTTTTAAAAAAAGTGGTCACTTCACTTATTATTTACATCTCTTCAGCATTCCTTTCTTTTTAGACATTCAAGCTGTGAAGACCTCTCCGACCCCTCTGCTGAGAACAGTCTTGATATTTACGAGCCAGAAATGACTGTCAAAGTGGAAGAGGACTCCCAGACAGACTTGCAGCTACGGTCCGAGTTTATCGATGTGAAGACTCCTCAGCAAGAGGCTGACACAAGTTACCGTAAGCCTTCTGAGTGCGGGAGTGTCCACTTCCTGGAGGAGCCTGACCCATCCTGGGCCCCGAGGACACTGGTGAACGCCTACTCCAACCAAAGAGTGGACAGTGAAGACGACATTGACATATTCATGAGAAGTGTGGCTCTCACGGTGAAAAGACTCTCTCCAAAAGCCAGAGCGGAAGCCAAGATGAGAATTTTATCAGTCGTTACTGAACTGGAGTTTCCACCCAATAACCATGGAGAAGTATAAAGTTAGTCTAGTCTAGTCAAGTCAAGATTTGTTACTGTTAAGTAAGTGACTGAGTTAGTTTATTCTAATGTGTCTTTATTTAAAAAATTACCAATAAAGGTGACTGTCAATTGAAATGATCAACTGATCAAGAATTATCAATTGTTAAAAGATCAAGCACAAACAGTCATCTACACAAGTTTTGTTATTTTGTGTGACCAGCTCAGCCTAAGCTATCTATATATTAATAGGCAAGCTGTTTCTTTAAAACCTTTTTTCTCAGCTCGTGTGCATCGCAGTAACCAAAATCTATGCATACTGTTAGAATTATATTTTCCTGTAGATGTGCAGAACCCTTTATAAATTAAAACAGGCTCAAAAATAAGCACAAAAAATGAATTCAAAATTAAAAATACATGGGTCTTGTGGGTTGCCTTAGTGACGAAATAACAATGAAATATAAACAGAAAATCAAAACAAATTGAAGTAATTCCAATCATATGTTTTATTTACAGCGTGGGATGAAAATAGAGAAGTATGTACATAAGATATTTTTGGTCGAATTTACAACCACTGGATGACCTCTAGTTAGTATAATTAGTTGTTCATTATTTATTACGTGTTATAACATTTGTTTACAAAAAATACAATCCAGTTATCATTGGTTAATGGTTTTTTTAGATAGTAATTTTTTGTTATTAAATGAATTGTACATTTTTACCAACCATGTATTGAAGTTGTTTGTGGATAGTAATTTTAATTGTATCTTAGAATGTACGAGTTAGTTAAAAGATTACAAATAAAATTCAACATGCCTATTTTGATTATTATTATATATTTCCTGATGAACAAAATCGATGGGTAAGTTACTATTCATCATCACTGAATCTGCAGTTGTACAAAAATGCTGAAAGTCTAAACACCCAACCTTGCCATTCTAGTCATATTATGCAAAACAATGTGTAGGAAATCAGCTGCAACAGGGACAGAATATTTCTAGAAACAGCTGATTTTGGTGGGAGTTTCCAAGGTCAAGTTTAGATTTTATTTTTAACTGTATGAGTTACCAGCTCAATTTTGTCATCACATTCTTGGAGATCTGTACCATGATGATTCAGGGCTGAATTAACTTGTTCTGTAATTCACATACAATATTAATTAAATCTTTAAACAATATTGGTTAAATCTTTGTTGCTGATTTTGATAGTTGAATAAGTCTTTTTTGACCAATTTTCTATCATGTTAACCTTGACCTTACTCCAAATTGTTCAATGATTTCCTATTTATATTGCCAAAAGATAATTCCTCAATGACAAAGCTTGAATTGCAAAATACTTAATAAGTAATTTATTTATAGTTGATATAAGTCTGTGTTTTTATTTATAGCCATTAATAATAAATTTTCATGCAAATAATAACACACTTTTTATTTTGATTCAAACAAGTGAAAAATAAACTGAAGTTTGGTAAACATACTGTGAACAATTGCAGAGTATTCGAGGAAGGAACTAGTATAGTTTTACTTGTTTATGTACTCCTTTGAACAAGTGTGTTTTGATTTGATTTATACTTTGGTTGGAACCATACCTAACTATTCTCAAAAGTACAAGGTAAACTGATATGAAGAACAATCCAATGGGGTTTTATTATGTTGAAACCTCACCATCACATAAAAAACATAAAAAAGACAAATATCATGAATTGACATAAAGTTGAGTAAAAATTCAAAAAGACAATTTTTTGCTGTTTAAACCTCTACTCGGAACTCATTGGTTGAATCAAACACCTCTAATCTGAACATCTCTACTCACCAATTGGTTGAATCAAGCATTTAAATAGGTATGTTCCTTTATCTTCAAAATATCATAAAAAGAAGACATTTTCAATCTTATCTTGCCTAATAGAGATGCAGTATACATGTTTTTTTCAAGTTTTTGGCTCGGAAACCCTATTTCTAGGTGAGTCCAAAAATACTATGAAATAGCTGCACTCCATTTTAGAGGGAAATTGTCTAAAAATGCTTATACAAATAAAACTTAATTAATGGGTACAATCTCCTAGCACAGTTGGTTTTAGTGAGTTTATTTTTAGTGCATAATTATTTCCAGTAAAGGGAAGAAAATATGGAAAGAAGATAATATAATGAGTTCTTTGTTTTTTTAAGAGAGGTTGGCAGCTTCTTATATCCTTGTATTTGCCCATCCAAATAGACTACAGATCTGTGCGTGGAACGTCCCAAGGGGTGAGCCGGTACATTGCAAGGGTGAACTATACTAATTGTAGTGGCAGTGACCAAAATCCGGACCCACGAAGCTGCCTTGGGCCCCAAGTCCGAGACTCTATTGACTGAGCCACCAACTCACTCAGAAAAAGTGATTATCAATAGTATTGAACAAGTATTCGCAGCCCATGGATTTGGGGGGAAATCAAACTCTAAATTAATGAGCTATTACAATTAATTTTGGAAACTGCCCAAAAACTGACAGCAGCTGACAGACCAAGATTTATTTTCAGATGCTTACGCAATCTCACACATATTTTTAACACTTCCTTGTAACTGGTGGGTGGAGGAAGTGCTAACTAAATGTGACTAAACATTTCGTAACTGGGTGGTTTCCTCAGGAAATAGCAGCCTGACTGTAACTCGTTACATTTGCTCAAGTTTTCGCTATGCGTTACACTCAAAAAAGGAAATTACAAACCAGTTATCTGTAACAAATTTCACTGTGCTTTCATTTGTCACATTACAATCTCTGAGCTAAGATCATAAGTGTTCCAAAATCAAATAAGAGCCAAGTATAAATTTCTTGCAAGACTATGTGAACTAATATTAAAAGTAAAGTCTCCCTACCCAATAAGAGAATGGAATAGCATTCCAACTTTCTTTTTTTTTAATCTATAATCTAATATATAAAATTCTCGTGTCACAGTGTTTGTCTGCAAACTCCTCCGGAACGACTTCACCGATCGTTATGAAATTTGGTGTGTAAATTCTGTAGGTATGCGAATAGAAAGTAAACTATTTCCCGTTTCGAAATTCTTAAAAGGGCTCCGCCCCAGTGGCTCTGGAGTTTCCCATGTTAACCTTATGAGAAATGGAATTAATGAATCTTAACAGCTGTTTCAATTAAACAAGTTGGTTCTGTTCTATGATGTTCAATAGCATTAAAGTTACAAGGATTACCAACAGGGTGCAGCACTATTATTTCTTTTACATTTATGACAACAGCTAATTTGCAACCAAAAGGTGAGTGAGCGTAGCGAACGAACTTCAACCTGGAGGCGAGTTAGCGTAGCGAACGAGCTAACCTGAAGGCAAGTGAGCGCAGCGATCGAGCTCCAACCTAAAGGTGAGTGAGCGTAGCGAACGAGCTCCAACCCAAAGGTGAGTGAGCGTAGCGAACGAACTTCAACCTGGAGGCGAGTTAGCGTAGCGAACGAGCTAACCTGAAGGCAAGTGAGCGCAGCGAACGAGCTCCAACCTAAAGGTGAGTGAGCGTAGCGAACGAGCTCCAACCCAAAGGTGAGTGAGCGTAGCGAACGAACTTCAACCAGGACGTGATTGAGCGATGCGAACGAGATCATCTTGAAAATTAAACTTAACGGTACTTTCTTTCCATCGGTCTGTCTTAGGGGAAACCTATAACTTTGGCGATACGAAGTTCGCCGGGTCAGCTAGTATCTTTATAAAGATTAATAATCTATCTATCTATCTATCTATCTATCTATCTATATATTAATAGGCAAGCATGTTTCTTTAAAACCTTTTTTCTCAGCTCGTGTGCATCGTAGGGAAAATCTACGCATACCGTTAGAAAGCTATTTTCCTGTAGGTGTGCAGAATCCCTTTATAAATTTAAATAGGCTCAAAGATAAGCACAAAAAATGAGTTTAAAGATTTGAAAAAATTAACATGGATCTTATGCATTGCCATGCTGGTGACGAAATAACAACGAAATATAAACAGGAAATCAAAACAAATGGAAGAAACTCCAATCACATGTTTTATTTACAGTGTGGGGTGAAAATAGAGAAGTGAGTACATTACATATTTTTGGTCGAGTTTCGACCACTGGACGACCTCTCGTCTATATATTAATAGGCAAGCATGTTTCTTTAAAACCTTTTTTCTCAGCTCGTGTGCATTGTGGGGTAAATCTACGCATACCGTTAGAAAGCTATTTTCCTGTAGGTGTGCAGAATCCCTTTATAAATTTAAATAGGCTCAAAGATAAGCACAAAAAATGAGTTTAAAAATTTGAAAAAATTAACATGGATCTTATGCGTTGCCATGCTGGTGACGAAATAACAACGAAATATAAACAGAAAATCAAAACAAATGGAAGAAACTCCAATCACATGTTTTATTTACAGTGTGGGGTGAAAATAGAGAAGTGAGTAAGTTTACATTACATATTTTTTGTCGAGTTTCGACCACTGGACGACCTCTCGTAATATATTAATAAGGGTTAAAGTTTGGCAAGGGCTCACTGGATATACTTTTACAACTACCACTTATTTTGCTTGCAGCCCAGTTGGCACTGCAGTTTGGCATTTTGCAAGCCCTTGGTCTTTAATTTGATGATTTGTATAGTGCTACTAATAAAAGTCATCATTATTCTAGTCATTCCAAGTCATTGCTCTGATTTCTCGTTAAAATAATAATATAAACTAAATTTTGAGCTTCAGAAAAAGTGGATTTTCATGATTCAACTAAATATAACTGCAGAAAAGGTACTGTAGTTGTTTTACATTTCAAAAAGTGTTTTTATTATGTGGTGAGACAATTTGATTTAAAAGATGTTTAATGAGATTGTTGGTTAAAAAAAAAAAAAAAAAATTGTAGTTGGTGAATAAGCGACAAATTATATTGTGTGGAACAATGTTGAATTATGATACTAGCATTTAACAGATCACACCCAATTTTGTGTTGAAAGCCTGTAAGAGTTAAATAGTTAATAAATTAAAAGAGATTAGAGTAAATAAATTAAATGAGTAACTGAATTGTGAGTGCCTGTACGTCCTTTACTAGCAACCAGTGTGACACTTACGAGTTTGCATCCTCGTTTTGCAGGCACCGAAAGTTTAAATTCATTTGACTCGGTTTGTTACTCGTATAACTTGGATTTTGTCATTTTGTTTGTGTACTTTACACAAACTGTCTCAATTGTAAAAAAATTGTCGCGCCTGACGCAGGTCAGGTGGTAAAGCAGTGCAGTAAACTGGGTAAATCCCTGGGAAATGGGAATAGAGCCTACTGTACCATATGCCTATTTTAGAGCTCTTCTTATACTTTTGTCCCGCTTGTTGGAGTGGTTGGTAAATTTGCGGCCCTAAAGCAGATTTTACCGATCCCTTTCTAAAAACAATGACTTGCATGAGTACTGAGTACTGTATTTTTCAATTTGTTTATATTTCAACGATAGAATGTGTAAAAATAAAATAAAAAACATACTCCCTTTTAAGAATGTTACATACTACTGTATCACAGTACAAACTAGTATTAGAACGTTTTTTACTTAGTGGAATTACATTATTTTTTGGTTCAATAAATCCTAAGTAGATTTCTCAACTTTAGAAGAGAGTATGATTCCACAACTAATTTCATTGGACGTGGGACAAATAAATTATTTAACGATAACACAAATTTGCATTAAGTCATTTCACAGCATCGTGATGTATTTATTAGCATGATAATTGCACTTAATTCGCGTGTTGA